CCAACCCCTAAACCCTAAACCCTAAACCCTAAACCCTAAACCCTCACGGTGTTTCCCATATGCCGTGTCTATCGCGGGGTGTTGGTGCCTCTGTATCTGAATTGTTGAATATCTCTGGGGCCGCTTCTTTGGCTCTTATAGCTTCTCTCTTTCGCTGGGAGCTGTATATACACCCCAGAAACATACACATATATATTAGGGTTTAGGGTTTAGGGTTTAGGGTTTAGGGGTTGGGTGGCATTGATACAGAAAGATTCAGAACACACAAACCCTCAAAAAAAAAGGGGGACCAGTGTTTATCTCTACAATCTAGGGTTTAGTGTTTATGGTTTATTAGGGTTTATTAGGGTTTATGAGGGTTTAGGGTTTACGAGGGTTTACCGCATGTTAGCGCAGTGTATGATGAGGACCGTCATAAGGGCCCCCAAAACAAAAGCAAGAAGAATAAAGAAAGGCACTAACCACTTCTCTTTGCGTGGCTCATCCCCTAAAAACACAAACCCTAAACCCTAAACCCTAAACCCTAAACCCTAAACCCTAAACCCTAAACCCTAAACCCTAAACACTGAGCACTGGACTACTTGGGGGGGTTGTCGGCTGAAACACAAACCCTAAACCCTAAACCCTAAACCCTAATATGATGGTAACGCAGACAAACCAAAAAAGGAAGAGACAGATAGCGAGAGAAAGAGGAGACAGAGAAAGAGACAGAAAGAGACAAAAAAAGAGAAAGAGACAGAAAGGAGACAAAAAGGAGACAGAAAGGAGACAGAAAGGAGACAGAAGAGAGAAGGAAAGAAAAAAAAACAAAAAAAAAACAAAAAGGAGACAGAAAGAGACAAAAAGGAGACAGTTGGTTTGTGTCTTACCTAGGGGCAAGGGTTTATCTGCATTCGTCTCTGTAGGCTCGCTTAAGCTGCTGCTGCTGCTGCTGTTGCTGCTGTTGCTGCTGCTGCTGTTGCCGCTGCTGCTGCTGCTGCTGTGAGTGGTCCTCAAGCATAGAGCTTCAGGTAAAGAGGATAGAGAGACGGCGAGCAGCAGCAGCAGCAGCAGCTGCTGCAGCAGCTGCAGCAGCAGCAGCAGCAACGAGGGGCAGCAGCCCCCCAACCGCTGCTGCAGCAGCCGCCGCATTGTGCTTCAATACACAGCTCACTCTGCCTCCTCCCTAAAACAAAAAAAAAATAAAAAAATAAAAATAAAAAAGGAGACAATACAGCTGCAGATACACCCCAGCTGCAGGTACACCCCACGCAGGAGAGAGAAGAGAAGGCAGCAGCAGCAGCTGCAGCAGCAGCAGCAGCAGCAGCAGAAGCAGCAGCAGCAAAACACACACACAAACTAGCGCAGCAGCAGCAACTGCAGCAGGAGCAACTGCAGCAGCAGCACCAACAAATGCAGCAGCAGCAGCAGCAGCAGCACAAGCAGCAGCAGCAGTAGCAGCAGCAGCAGCAGCAGCAGCAGCAACAGCAGCAGCAGCAAAGAAGAAACGCATGCAGCCCCAGCAGCAGGATGAGCAGACACCTGGAAGCGGAGGCGCTTTCCTCTGTCTCCTACAGCACTGCAGCAAACGACATCAAGCCAATCTCTGCTGCTGCTGCTGCTGCTGCTGCTTCTGCTGCTGCTGCTGCAGCTGCTGCTGCTGCTGCTGCTGCTGCTGCTGCTGCGC